TGACCATATATAGCATTGTAGCAGGAAGTCCTCATTTCTTATGCTCCTGAGGAATGAGGAAGCTGTTGTTTTCTCCAAGGAAAAGTCTCCTGTATCAGATTAGAGAATCTACTGTAATCTGTGTTTTAAAGTTCTCAGGGATTAAATGAAAATTGAAACAACAGTAATCCCTCTTGTTCTGGAAAGAATGATGATCATTTAACAATAAAACATTAACAAATGCTTGCATAACTGTGGTGAAAACATATCCTCTTTCATTGTTGGTAGGAATGCAAACTAGTACAACCATCTAGAAATCAGAATGGTGACTTTTCAGAGAACTGACATTAGAAAGTCCATATTACCTAGCTATCTCCCCACTATGCATCTTTCCAAAAGAGTTTAAGGAATCATACTATAGTGCCTCATCCATACCAATGTTTATAACAAGACAATTCATGATATCTATATCCTAGAAGCAGCCCAGGTAAACATCAACAGATGATTGTATAAAGAAAATGTATTTATATACCATGTAGTTCTATTGGGCTGCAAAGAATGACAGATTTGGAACATTTGTAGGAGAATGGATGTACTTGGAAAGTATAATGTTGAGTGAAATGAGCTAGACCTGTGAATTTGAATACTATTTGTTATTTTTTTTTAAAATAACAAATAGTATTGTGATTGAGGCAAAGTACAGCATAAAGAGAACAAAAAGTAATGGATGGAAGGTAACAAGGGGATGCATCTTTGCAATAGAGAAATGTTCCAATGGAACAAGGGTGAGGGGTGAGGAGGATGTAAAGGGGACTAAACAGAATAAGGCCATGCCATGTACAGGAATTGAATAATCTTGATTAATGTAAACATTACATGCTCTTATTAATAGCCACTGAGTGCTTTGCTGAAGATTTGATATAGATGATATAGATGAAGATGAAGGTGATGTGGGTGAGAGAAACCACAAATGTGAATGAAGAGCAGGTAGAAAAGGCCTTTTTCTTTTGCTGGATAGAGGGGAATCATATGATAGTCTTGATTACAGATATTTATGAACTAAGAGTAGTAATATCAAGAATAAAAAAATAGGATTAGAAATTGTAGGAAGGAGGGAGGGGGATAGAAGGGGAAGTAGATTAATAGAAGGAAACAAGTTGTAATATGTACAAGTACCTACTCCATAGATTATTGTAAACTATGTACTGCAAACATATAGCAATAAAATAATTTCAGATAGCACTCAGATAGCATCACGATATTGTGGAAACTTGGGGGGGGGTTAAAACACATGTCTCAGACTGTTTTTCACTGGAGGGGAAAAGGTAAAAAGACACTGACATATTAATTCTCTCCTTGGGCAACTGCTTGAGGGCATTTGATTTATCTATTATTTATATTTTTCATAGTTAACTGAATTTTCAACAACGTTTTAAATAAGTTTAGTGTTCTGCTATTGAACTCATCATCATCCAACCTCTATTCATTATATTCATTTGTTATATCATAATAATCTAAACCAAATATTTTTTAGTTTTGCTTATAATATGCATTTATAGTTTCATTTAATAATGAAAGTTTTGTAGTAGTATGATACATTACATTGATTGAGGTTTCTATATCCTTTTAAAAAATGTATTTAGTACAGGTTCTACAGGTTCTACAGGGTCTACGGGGTCTCACTACACAGGGTGGATTTGTAGTGATCCTTCCTGTTTTTCATTCTCCCAAGAGCCTCCCAGGCACCCAATTTCAATAACCATCTCAGTGCCCCCCAGGGTCACAGCTGGCACATGCTGGGGATTGAACCCCTGGCCCCTGTGTCTGCCTAAGCAGACACTTTAATCTGCTGAGCTATCTGGGAAGCCCTTCTATATACTTTTTGAATTGA